TGGCTCAGCACTCAACAAAATGCAATTTGTTGTCTAGCGGTGAAAACCAAACGACGACAACAACAAAAGACAGATAAAGCCATGTGTATCTGGGAAACATAATGGATGAAATGAGGGCAGAATGAAAAGGAAAACATAAAAGGCTTTCAGACGGCAGAAGTAAATGAATGTTCTCTGATTCATATCAAAAAGATATCCTGAGACCCATCTAATTCAAAGAGGACTCAACAGCAGCGTGAGCAGAGAGAGGATTAACACTCCAGATTAAAAAAGTTGCTCCGCTCAGATCACAGACTTGGGGACCACGATATGCTGCAGTTCAGTGAGTTTCTGCGAAGGGACAGTCCGTTAAAAACAACGGTGGTTGTTATTTATGGTCTCATGCGGCTTTCTGGAGCAGAGATACTATGTTGTGTCCCAAAATACGCTTGTATAATACTGGTTGAGTGTTTACATTGTGAGAATAAGTGTCGTGTGCAATTCACAGAGTTGCGTTCCACAAGCTGATTTCTGTAACTTCGTCAGGTCTCCAATGATATTTGTTGGTGCTTTCGTGTTGTTACAGATTCCCCAAAAGTAGAAGCTCAAAAGGATGGTGGACGTGGCTTCATTATGCGATAAGAATATAATTATCTTAAACCGCTGTATGAGGTGTTAAGATGTTATGGTTACTACAGAGCTAGTTATTGTGTCAGAGACAATTAACTGTGGAGAATTCTTAATTAAATAGAGAAACACCTGCATGAAAGCCAAATAAAGACGTATTAATAGTAATAGTTGTAGTGTCAGAGAATCGTTCTAATGTCTAATAGTTAAACAGATTACTCAAGGAAGCAGAGCATTAACAATGGTCGAATTATTCAGTAACTGATCATGGAAATAAAATTAAAGTGATACAAATTGGCTTAAATCCATTACACTACAAACGGCTGACTGAAAAGGGAAAAAAAACGCTTATTCAACCACGGTCCTGCCCTGCGTACAATCAAATTAAATATTAACAAAAGAAAACTGTTATTTTCATGTGTATAGATTGCACGGACGCCTGGGTTGAAACAGAGTTGTAGCGTGGATGCTGTTGGCCGTCAGAAGAATGAACACAAACCCATGAAAGTCCCATTTAAACAAGTGTGGTTGTTCTGGTAATGACGTATGTGTGTGTTTGTGTGGTTGAGTACTTCCTTCTGACCTCGAGCTGGCTCTGTGCTGGTGTGGTGGTGGTGGTACTAGTGTTGACGTCCCAGAGGGTGGGCACCGTGCTCAGGTTGTCCGGGCTGATGAAGGGCTGAGCATCAGCATACTCCGACAGCGAGTCAGCCGGAGAGGAGAACAGAGAGTTTGTGGAGAGGTCATCAATGCAGGACAGGTCCTAAAGGCAGACAAAGGAGAGGAGGTGTTAAGTTCAACCTCTGAAACGAGGCCACATATTGGTCGGCGAAAGTGACATGTAGGTTCCCAAATCAAAACCGAAGTATGCAACAACCGCCAGACACGGGCTTCCCAAATATTTCCTTTACCATCAAGCTTTATGGGGAAGTAAAGGAGGACTATAAATCCTCATGACAGACACAACACACAGGATAGCCGCATACGTAGGAAAAGATAAAAAGGTGTATGGATGGGAGTGAACCACAGACAATAAAGGTGGCCCATTCATTCTGGATCCCAGCCAACACTGCACTCCTTTGGGAGTAACACGAGTAGCCTAAACAAAATCTAATCACACGCAGATGTGTGAGAGTGAGCACGTAAAAAATAGAGAGCGAGGGGCCGGCATAATGGGAGTGCTTGTGTCTGTGTGTGTGTGTGTCATTTCAGCTATGGCTGCCTTCCAGTCGCCCCTCTATTCATATCCCTCCTGAGCCAATAGCATGCCATGTTCTTTAACTAGCCCCTCACGAGCAACCCCTCGGGCCGCCTCGGGACTTATAAACATGGGTGCGGGGAGATAGGGGCTCACTGATTTGTGGACATGGCAGACAAGCTGAACAGAGGAGAAACTGTTTTGGAAATGGGAGTATGGATCGACATTTTTTATTGTTTGCCAGCGTGTAGTCCTGAATGTGTGCGCACGTATATTTACACTCTGTGGACCATGTGTGTAGGTTCCCACACCCCCGTGATCCAACTGCACCCTCCAGAGGACCATGAAGCAGCCTTGAAAACTACCAGACTATCACACAACAGTTTAGCTCACTTTTAATGGAAAATTCCACGTTTTAGGACACATGTTTATCACTTAGATGAGAAGATTGAGGCCACGTTTGTGTCTGAGCAGTATATGTGGATCTAACGCTTACGGTAAAGCAGCAAATCATTGTTTTTGCAGTTAGTGTTTTGTTAGGATTAAGCAAACTACATAAAACCTATTTATTGGGGAGTTTTATAACCTCGCTGCGTCCTCGTTTTCAATCTATGTGCTAAGCTAAGTTGGCTGGCTGCTTACGGTACCTTTTTATTTAGTGTATGGACATGAATTGTGTCAATCTTTTCATCCAACTCCAGGCAGGAGAGTGAAATAAACCTATTCCCCAAAATCTTGGGACTTCTCCTTCAAGGCCTGTTTGTCTGTGCTGTAAACAAATAAAACCAAAGCAAAGCAAAAGCTAATGTACTTAGTTTACACTTGCATGTAAATATGCTGACATAGATTTGTCGCAGCACCTCAAGAGTAACACTTATTCAGATAAAAGGAATTCTGCACCGACCAGCAGCGACGTGTGGGGTTGAAGTACAATATGACGTGAGAAAACCAAAAAAGAACAAACTGTTCTAAAACAGACATGATAAGCTGTGATGCTGCCTCAATCTCAGCGATATGCTGCTGATGGTTATTATTTCTGAGAAGCTGTGCCGACTTCAGTTAGAGCCGCCCGACGGCCATTACTCACAACTCAGCTGAAAATGTTTCACCGGCGTGAGAGTACAAGACGGAGAGCTCTCCGTGTTGACGTGACTGAATCATGTGGTGAACAGACAAACACAGGCTCACCCCTTACAGATACAACTCTATATGTTTGCCCTCTGACGGTAACTCGCTGTGGGTGCTTTGAGTATTGGAAAGAGCTTTTTTTCAAAACGTTACAGCACTCCCTCACTCTGTATCTTTCTTCTTTCCTTCTCCCCCATGTGCGCTTCCTGAGGGCAAGACCAGGCATGAGGTCTGAAAGCAGCTGAGTGGAACAACAGCCTTTTCTATGGTGACAGAGGTTTAGATGTGGAGAGGCTCACTAACACTCCCTGACACATACCCTGTCACTTTCCTCATCGTTTCCTTTCTCCACCTTATTTGTTTATCCTATCAGCAGTGTGTCTCGCTATCCCGTTCTTCTTACTGTCCCGCCCCTCGCTCTCCACCAGCTCTACTGGCTGAGCAAAGATAAGTAAACAACAAGGCCCGGAAAAAGGACACTGTGTCACCGGAGCCGTCATTCCACAGAAGCATAACTGTGGAAACACACAGATGAGCACAGATAGACACATGGATTCCACCATGGAAAACAGTAGTTTTTTCCCCCACAAAAATAGTGAAAAGAATATCGATTTAACTTAGTTTTGATATAAAACTACAGATTAACTTGGGTTACAATAAAGTCATGAGCTGACATAATAGCTTTGTGTGTGCTAACGATGACTTCAATGTGCTGCCTCACACTTAAATTAATTCAAACTCCAGCTGAAACTATCCCGAAATCTGTTCTGCAAATCTGTGAGATGTATTTACACTTGCAGGTCATTGCGCTGTGTGTCACGTTTACGACGTGATCTCTAGGGTGTCCACGTCCTGCAACCGCCCATAACGTGACGCGACGCCGTCATTAAGACGACCCAAAACCCCAGTCGTCCTGACACAGAGGGATCACAGACAAACTGCAGCAGGTCGGTTTGGCGCTAACCGAGGCGCGGCCAACCTCGGTGCCATGCTAATCGAGTTGTTAAGCAGAGCGTAACAGAGGCGGCAGTGTTTGTCCCTCCGGCAGGCACCGTACCGAGGGCTAGTTCATCGACTGCTGCGAAGACCGGGCCCTGCCGAGCGGAGATAAGGCTCGACTTCCAACTGCTCTGATGGTAATCTGGCTCCCTCCACAGCACACAGCCACACAACCGTAAAACCACTAATCCTGCCTCTCCCATTTTCTGTGCTGCGGATAAAAAAAAGAACAAATAAATGAATGTGTGTTTCTTTTTAAATTGTTTTCAGGGAATTACATCCGCTTGAAATCTTGATTGCAAATTCTGAGAATACGCAGAAAGAGCGTGTGTGTGTATGTGTGTACATGTGTGAAAGCCCATGTGCACATCATTTATCCACGCTCCCGTTCGCCTTTCACGCGTTTCTTCCTTCCACTTCCATTTCTCCTCTGCTATGAATGCTAAAGCCAGCAGAGCATCCCTCCTCTTAAAACCGACCCAGTAAAGCTGACACCACGGACAAATGCCGGGCACTCCAGAGACCACTAGCTAATAACGTGGCGCAACCTTAACAGACTTACTGTGAAAATCTCCGTAAAGGAGCTTAACACACATATGCATGTACATGTGCATCACGTTGGGTGCCCACAGAAGCGGTAAATTGTACTCGAGTGTCTGGATAATGACAGTTGTCTGCCTGGCGATGATTAATGGAGGCACACAGCAGTGAAGAACTGCAGTAAAAAAAAAAGCCTGTGTGTAGTGCAGCGCTGCAGAGAGACTTGATGGTTGTGGTTGAAGGTTGGTGGTTACCGGCTCTAAGAATCAGAACTGGAAAAAAATACACAAACCGCCCACAAACAGCTCGGCTTCATCGTCTGTTATGGTTGATGTATTTACAGTGTGATGAGCCATCTGAAAAAAAGTGTCACTAAATACTCCCCCTCCTTAAAAAAAAACAACTAAATCCCACAGAATCCATTATCTAAGTAGATTCAGCCTAAAACAAATATTAGCCACGATTGCTTCGTAGCAGCCGTTCCTGATTCAACGACCACAGTGACACTGGTTATGACACCTAAGATAAGCTCAGGCGCTGCCATACAAGGAAGTCACCAGCCGGATAAAAAGAATATATTTCCATGGCCGGTGTACTTCTCTTTGTCTGTCAATGTTGCTCCCTTACCATTAAGGGACAGATGGTTTCTAATCACAAATCCTATTAATGACGACAGACCACTTGGGTTGAAATATATGTGGTGTTTATCAGATGGGAAGCATTCTTAAGCACATGTCCTTTTAAGAATACGCTGTGGCCGTTCCTGTTTCTAACTAGAGCTGTCGTGCTTCTTTTTCCACCACATTTGGTTAAATCCTCTGTATTGTAGTTCTTGTCTCCCAGAGGAATAAATGAACAGCCACGTGCCTCCTGTGACACACATGACGTTGCCAGCTGCTGCTTCTCAACACAAGTTTCTTTGGCATGTTGGAAACAGTTGACATATCAACATGCTGTCGCTGGACTTGTCTCCTTACCGACTTTACACCTTTAAACACCCCACAATTAGCTTTGACGCAGAAAGAAATGACTTCTTCTGCCCTTAGTTTACATCAGTGCTACATATTAGAGGCTAATATTCTCCCCTGCTATCAGAAAGAACTGTATACAGTCCTAGACCACTTCCTGTTCGACTGGATAAGCTGCCTCAGCACAAGGCCAGGCCGAGGCCCCAGACAAGCCGAGAGGCCGGGCCCTGGGCTTTCCCCTCCCACTCACTGCCAGCTTTTCCAAGGCCAGAAAACAAGTCCTCCCACCTACCCCGCACACCCACGTGCATACACAAACACACACCTCGAATGAACCCGTTGTCTCACCCATACGTTGCTGTCATCTCGGGCTTATTTTTTACCCCAACCTTTTTGTACTCCGCTGCCCTCGTTTCCCATCCCATCTCCATCAGCCTCTCACGGTTTGTTTATCCTTGTTTTGTTTTCCCACAGAATTATGCGACAGGAAAAGACACTTACTTTTCACTGATATTAATCTGCATGTAGCTCAACATCTTTTTCGGGAGATATCATCACTGTCGCATAGTTAAATGAGGGCAGAAATAACATTATATTACAAACACCGTTGTGTGCCATATGGTGAAGGAAATATAGACTTAAATCAAGGCCTATTATCATACACTGTAGTGTTTGCTGACTGGGGCAAACTAAAAATGTTCACAAAAAGTTGTTAACGGCTATTGCCCTTTACAGGGTTCACCATTAGAGCAATTTTTTTTATGATGGTATCATTGTATAAAGTGCTGCAGTTTTTTGTTTTTTTTAGGCCAACCTGGAAGTTAGCATCGCACTGGTTCCCTCAACTAAAAGGATTTTGGATTATTGCAGAAGATCAGTAATCTTCTGGCAAACACACTTTTATGATACTTCCACGTTTTATTCAGCAAG